TACTGTAAACATGCTGAACAGACCATACAGACCACGAGACAGCCACTGGACGCCCCTAGAGGCCTATGGACGCCCGCTGGACATCCCGTGGAGATCCCTGGACGTTCGCTCACCGCTGAATCATCACCCAATGGACATCTTCCACACATCTATGTACTGTAAACATGCTAGACCCACCGTAGAGACCACGATCCATCCACTGGACGTCCCCTGGAGGTCCCCTGGAGGTCCCCCAGAGGCCCGCTGGCCACCCGTGGACATCAACTCACCGCTGGTTCACTCCTGAATCATCACCAAATGACCGCCCGCTGGACACCCAGGCCCGCAATGGACATTCACTACACACCTGCTACACGTCCACGTACGACGCGCCCTATAGCTCCCGCTATAGACAGCCCCCTGGATGCCCTGGGCCCGCTGGACCTTACCCCTACACCCACCTGCTACATCTACACAGTGCTTAGTAAGCGGTGTAAGCAGTGTCCCCTCCCCCGCGCGCTTCCATTTCGGTTGCGGCCATATCTAGCAGAAAGCACCGTTTCCCGTCCGATCAACTGTAGTTAAGCTGCTAAGAGCCTGATCGAGTAGTGTAGTGGGTGACCATACGCGAAACTCAGGTGCTGCAATCTTTTTTTTACCCAAGTTGGGTAGCCGGCTTCCCAAAAGGGGCAGTCTACGCGGTGTCCCAAAAGGGGTAGTCTACCCGGCCGGTAACCGTGGCCTACACCAGCCCTAACACCATCCACGTGACCCGCCCGGTGACTGCACACCCTTACACCACCCGCACCACCCGCACACCACTCACGTGACCCACGTGACCACCCAACACCACCCAAAACTATATAAACCCCCTACCCCCCCCAAAACAACCACCACCACCCACCCATCTACACACATATATATACCTATATACGGGGGCGGAACCGGATACCCCTAGTTTTTTTAAATCATTATGACCATCCCGCAGCGGCGCAGGCGCGAAGGGATGGTCGCACTTCTCGCAAAATTAGAAAATCCTCGCCCGCGCTCGTAACCGGAAATTCCCACTGCCTGGGGGATCCCCATACTAACGGTTTTGGTAAAATCCCACTTTGGGGCCACATTCCCATTTCCCGTGGTTGTCGTTGTGGGAATCTG